GGGGGGGAAGTGTTTTAAAAGAATGGAAGTGTTAGCAACCTTCCAATAGACAAATGTAAATGTAATGTAAGTAATGTGTTTACAAAAGGTAAAAAGGTAACATAGTTCCTAAAACAAACAAAAAGGCAATGTGGGAAACCGAACCATTCATATTATACATGCAAATGGCAACATGTTAAGAACTGCCACTGCAGAAAGACATAACAGCTTACCATTGGTATAACATATTTTCTGAATGGTCTCCCACAACTACTGGCATACTAATGTTACTAACCCTAATTGTTTTTGATTTTAAATTGTATGTGTTTAATTGTAACGTTTGAAATGTGCTGTTGGATAAAACAAATGTATGCAAAGCTAGAGCCACAGGCCCAAATCACCTCCCAGTATTTTCTATTACGTGGACTAAATAAGAAGTGACACTGGCGATTAATAATCTTAGTGTCAAAAGGGGGATATGTAGGAGCAGGATTTTATAATGTCCCATAAGAATTAATGTATGATTTGATTTCATCCTGTCAGCCACCCTTTTTGAATAGCAGAAAGGAATGACAGACCAGAACAATCCTTATGACTGATTATGGTCATCCTTTTGGTTTAGAATAAGTTATAATGTCTACTATGGTTTCCTATATGTATTACAAAGTAGGCCTCTAGTTAAATATACATTTCTTTGTTTTAAGGTTTAGTAAATAAGAAACAGGATTCTCTATTGTGTCTATGTTAAGTAGATTAGAGGAACATTGAAGGCCTGGGTCTCAATGTAAATTGTCTTGGTTATTGATTGTAAAACTTAGCAAGGTTTAATTTGCAATGCCTTTTTGCTCGATATAAAATACTACTGTTTGTATTCTCAATCTGTGTGAATAAGGAATGTATGCATCAGGAAAAGATAAGGTGTGAAGGCCATTGTTATAGCAAGAGTCAAGGAAGAAGAAGTAAAGAGACTTAAAGGACATCAAAGAATCATCAGGTACTGCTTACTATCCAGATGGCTGTTAAACTGTCTGGCATCACAGCGTGCATACATGCTTCGCAGTGTAAGAAGGCACCCCCCCAGCAAACCAATCACCTCAGGACCACACAGAGTCAATTTTGACTCCAGAAGAAGACGTAGAGGAACAGCCTGCAATACCTTACCATCTACGCTCTCGTAAGGGTTGCCAGAAGCAGACGACGACCTAAAGCAAGGCCCCAAAAGAAGCAGTAGTGAGCCTAGCGCCTGCTGCCTGGTGGATGTAAAACCGTGACTGCGGTTCCCTCAGTTGAGGTTGTCAGAACCAGAAGGGCCTTGACTCCAACATGCGCCTCTGGTGGCGCCTGTTCCTTGGCTGCTGGTGTCTTAAGGTCTGGGGAGTCCACAATGACAATTCTTTTATCCAGCAGCAAGTGTGATAGCTCAGACCCTTAATATTTCTAATTGCTGGGTCTGCAGCCACATCCCAGCCCACTCTCAAGCTGGTGTTCCTGTCCTGGCAATCCCACTCAATTCCCCAGACCTCACTGGAGGACTTCGTCCGTTTAACAAAACATGGAACAGCAATGACACTTGGGAAGCAGTGGGAATAAATGTATCTAAATGGATAAGTGTGGTGGAGGGAAAAGGTCATTGGTGTTGGGTGTGTAATGGGACAGGGCTGGATCTGGGAAAAAGTCGTTGCCTTCAGCATATTGTGGCAAATGGTGTATGGGATTATTCGAACAAAACTAAAGAGTGGCGGGCCGGGTATGGGGATATGAATTTTTTCTCAACCTGGGATCAAACAGAAAAATCAATTTCATGTTCCCCCTACAGTAATCTTAGTGGAAACAATACAATCTTTCAATGCCATGCAAATAACACCACTCCTTGTAAGGAGAATTACCCTGTGCCCTTCGGAGAATATTACTCCTCCTTTGTAGGCACCTATGTGACAAATGGGTGCAACCGACCCTTCCCAGCCTTAATAGGCCATCATTGGGTTTGTGGGACCAAAGCTTATACTGTGTTACCAGCTAACTGGTCAGGTATCTGTTATCCCGCTCAACTCTTCCCACAATTCCGAGTGCTGGGGTCCTTCCCACGAGAACGCCTGCGTAATTTCAGGCGAAGAAGAAGGGACTTATCAGATGCCCAATGGTATGTAAATAACATAAGCCCCTTGACCTGGGAAGAGGCCATTGGCAGTTCCCTTATCCCACTTGGGGGAGTAATACACCATGCAAAAAGGCTCCTAAGGTTACAAGCAGTAGTTGAAATAATGGCAAATGAAACCGGAGAGAGTTTAAAGACCCTGGCCAAAGAAACAGGGGCGATCCGACAGATGGCCCTCCAAAACCGTCAGGCACTGGACATAGTGCTGGCGGCCAAAGAAGGGACCTGTGCTCTCATTGGAAAAAAATGTTGTGTGTTCATACCTGACGACACCAATGAGGTAATAGATCGCGCTAGTCACTTAAAACGAATTGCATCTCTTCCCCATGAAGAGCCAAGTTCTTTATGAAAGTGGCTAAGTAACCTATTCAATTTCTCTGGCATAGGAAACTGGTTGTTTCAGGGAGCCCTGACTATCCTGTGTGGAATCCTAATGATTTTTGTATGTTTTCAGTTAATCTCCTGTTGTATCCAGAATTGTGTAAGGTATGCCACCCAGGTGACTACCCCAAAACAGAGTGCTAATATGATGATGTTAAATATCACTGATGAACAAAGAGATAAAGAACTATTAATATGTGGAACCCAGTAATTGTTGGTCTTTGCGTAAGCTTGACCAAAAGGAGGGATTGTGAAAGTGAAATGAATTATACTAAAGAAATAGAATGAATTAAAGAATGCTGTATGTACCTTTAAGTAGAAATGAGAAATGCTGCAAGCCAGGTGTGCAGGAAAGCAGACATTAACTGCTTAACTTGCCACTTAAGGGCAATTGGTGAAGCATTAGTCTTAGATCGATAAGAGTTAACAAGGAAGCAGGATATGCATATTGTGCTCCATGCATATTTTACAATTTTGCTCTCTCTGTCCTTTTGTTTAGTTTGCACCCTTTTATCTGTATAAATAAGACTGTTTGAATCTTGCATGGAGGCTCACATTATCTGAATGTATTAGCAGAGCGCTGTGCTAATAAAACAGAGTGGTCTGACAAACTATGAGTCCTGAGTCTAACTTTGACACTGGTGACAAGTTATAAAGAATTCCTACATGAAATAAGGAAATTTCATACCCACCTTAACATTATCAGATTTCATCTCAAAATCTGTGTAAAGCCCATTCATAAAACCAGTCACTCTAATTACCTTCAAAGCAAAGGAAACGCAGTAAATTACTAAAAAATACTGGAAAGCTTTTGAAAAAACCTTTTATGAGCTTCCTGCATTTGGAGAGATACTATTTCATGCTGAATATTATTTTGGGGGCAGTTTTAAAGATCTTCCCTATTGCAATGATCACTTCTGTAATGTGTTTCAATAAGCCATTTAAAAATCTTGTCAATTATTACATCTGAGCAGTACCGAAGATTCGTGCATCCCCCTTTTTTTTTTTTAAATAGAAAATTAAGGTTCATGCACCCACAAGGCTCTATGCTTTAACTACAGTCTTGATTTATTCTGTTAATGCCTAACTTGGTGGTGGTTGATTTCTTTATAGACATGCACAGACTATGAGTTCAGAGAATTTCAAATTTTCTAGTGAGTAATCCATTTTTCTTCCGAGGAAGGTAAAAAAGCATAAGCTCTCTGAACATCTTCCAGTTTGTAGGAGTGCTTACCTCCTTTTATTAAATTTGTCAGAAGATAATATAGTAGACGTTCATTAGTAGCAACATGTCGGTGCCTTTTGCTATGTTGCTCCTAGGCAGCTGTTGCTATTACCGAGAGTGCCGACAATTCACAGTAGGGAAATGTTCCCAGGAGAAAGTTGCTCATAAGTAAGGCTACGTTTTAGTCACACGTATTTTTAGTAAAAGTCATAGACAGGTCACAGGCAGTAAACAAAAATTCACGGCCAGTAATCTGTCCATGACTTCTACTATACACCCCTGACCAAATCTGGTGGGGAGGCGGCTCAAGGGGCGCCGGGGTGCTCGGAGCAGGGGAGGGTAGCCTAGGGGGCACCGTGGATGCTCGGTGGGGGGCAGCACATGGCCTGAGACCCCCTCTGGTGCTGGGGTTGGTGGGGCTGGCAGGCTCCCTATCCAGCTCCCCAGAAGCGGTGACATATCCCTCCCTCAGCTCCTAGCTCCATGTGCTGCCCACACCCCAAAACTGGCTCCGCAGCTCCCATTGGCTGGGAACTGTGGCCAATGGGAGCTGCGGGGGCAGTGCCTGCGGGCAGAGGCAAAGCGCGGAGCTAGGACCTGAGGGAGGGACATGTCGCCGCTTCTGGTGACTCTCCCAAGGTAGGTGCCACCCAGAGCCCTCACCCCCTCCCGAACCCCATCCCACACGCACGCACCCAAACTTCTGCTGCTGCTGGGAAGGGGATAGGGAGGGGCAAGGGGGCCCGAGACTGCCCCAGCAGCAGCCGGTGTGGCTGGCCCCAGGGGCTGCCCAAGCCCCTCAGGCAGCCCCTGGGCCAGCCACATGGGCCACTTAGGGTGACCAGATGTCCCGATTTTATAGGGACAGTCCTGATTTTGGGGTCTTTTTCTTATATAGGATCCTATTACCCCCCACCCCCTGTCCCGATTTTTCACACTTGCTGTCTGGTCACCCTGGCCACTGCAGAAGCCACAGAATCCATGACTTCCATGACAAACCCGCAGCCTTACTCATAAGCAGGGGTTGCTCTTACAAGGTTTGCTGCAAACAAGCATCTCCTGTAGTACTAAAGATCAACTGGGATTCTAAAGACCAAAAATACTTTCTACTTTGGCATCATCTTTCATCTGCAGCTGTTAATAAGTTTGATGAAGATGGGCAAAAACTCTTGCCCCCACACATGAGAAAAGGGAGGCAAAAGCATGGCACAGATACTTACTGCAGGGACGGAAGGGGTTTCTCCTTGCTGTAACAACTCCCCCCCCAGCAGGTAGATAGCTACAATTCTTCTGTCAACCTAGTTGTGTCCACAGCAGGGGTTAGGTCGCCCTAACTACACTGCACAGGGTGTGAAATCGTTCGCAGCCCTGAGCGATGTAACCAGGTTGCCCTAAGTTTAGGTGTCTTAGACCAGGCCTAGGTGACTGGCCAATGGCCGCACTGCAGGCCAGTGGAAGTACCGGAACTAACCCCAGGCCTCCTACACGGAGCAGCCCCTGCTCTAGCCACCAGGTAAGGAGGCCTCCCCGCAGTTGTAGGGCTCGCCACTCTCCCCAGGCCCACGCTGCCCCCAGGGAGCCGGGCTCTAGTTACACGCCCCTTGCTTGGCCTCAGCAGCCTGGAGCCAGACCCTCAAGACAGCAGCTTGCAGAACTGTGCCGGGGAGGGGGCAGCTCCGATCCGCCCCTATTCCCAGCGCCTGCCCCCGGCTTTGGGCCAGGAGGCTTCCCAGGCCCTCCCACCATGCCCGGGCGCCCGGGGCTGAGGGTGCAGGGAGGGGAGACGGGGTGGGGGGCAGCGCACACTCGGGGGCGCTGCTCCCAGCCGGGCTCACGGGGATCTCCGCCCCGCGGCGCCTAGCAACGGGGTGACGCGGAGCCCGGTACCACCGCCGCCGCCTCCCGGGGGCTGAGCCCGGCACCGCCCCCCCGCGCCTCACCTCGCCGATCACGTCGTGCAGGTAGCGGAAGGGGGGCTTGCTGAGCAGCCGGTCGGTGAGGGGCGGTTTGCGGATCACCCGCCCCAGCGACTCCTGCGTGCGCCGCACCACGGCCCCGTTCATGGCCCCTCAGCACCGGCCGGGCCGGCTCGGGCTCCGACCCCTCCCGGTATGCCCCGCGCCGCCCTCGATTGCGCAGGCGCAGCTGCCGAGACAGCTGTTACTACCCACATCGCGGTCCTAGCAACAGGCCGGAACAGCCCTGTTTGGGCCCCGCCCCCACCGAATTCCCCCGCTCTTACAGCGGCCCCGCCCCTCCGTTCCGGGGGCCGGGCAGGGCCCGATCCGGGCTCCAAGCGGGGGCAGAGGGGCACCAATAGGGCAGGATGGTGCCAGTAAGGGTGCGGGATACAAATGGGGGGATGTGAAACTAGGGTTGCCAATATTCTAATCGCATAAAACCAAACACCTTAGCCCCACCCCTTCCTGAGGCCCCGCCCCTGTTCACTACATTCCCCCTCCCTCAGTGGCTTGCTCTCCCCCACCCTCACTCACTTTCCCTGGGCTGGGGCAGGGGCTTGGGGTGCAGGAAGGGGGTGAGGGCGCTAACTGGCAATGGGGGTGGGGTAAAAATGAGGAGTTCAGGGTGCTGGAGGGGGCTCCAGGCTGGAGCAGGGGGTTGGGGTGCAGGAGGGGGTGAGGGTTCCAGCTGGGGGTGCAGGTTCTGGAGTGGGGCTGGGGATGAGGGGTTTGGGGTGCAGGAGGGGGCTCCAGGCTGGGGGGGTGGGGCCAAGGAATTCAGAGTGCAAGACCAGGCTGTGGGTTGAGGCAGGGGGTTGGGGTACAAGACGGGGTGAGGGCTCTGGAGTGGGGCCAGAGATGAGGGGTTCAGGGTGTGGGAGGGGCCTCTGGGCTAGGGCAGGGGTACAGGCTCTGGGCTAGCGGTGCAGGCTCTGGGATGGTGCTGGGGATGAGGGGCTTGGGGTGCAGGAGGGGCTCTGGGTTTGTGGGGGCTCAGGGCTGGGGGTTGGGGCACGGACTTACCTTGGGCAGCTCCCAGCCAGCGGTGGGCTACAGCAGGCTGCCTGCCTGTCCTGGCACTGTGCTGTGTGCGTCTAGAAACAGCCAGCAGGTCCAGGTCCTAGGCAGGGGGACTAGAGGGCTCCACGCGCCACTCTCGCCCGCAGGCACCGCTTCCTCCCCCAGCTCCCATTGGCTGGTTCCTGGCCAATGGGAGTGCGGAGCCGGTGCTCGGGACGGAGGCAGCACATGGAGCCCCATGGCCCCCCCCGGCTTGGAACCGGACCTGCTGGCCGCTTCCGGGGTGCATCGCAGTGCCAGAACCGGTAGGGACTAGCCTGCCTTAGCACCACAGCACCGCCAACTGGACTTTTAACAGCCTGGATGGCAGTGCTGACCAGAGCAGCCAGGGTCCCTTTTCAACCAGGTGTTCCGGTCAAAAACCGGACACCTGGTCACCCTATGTGAAACCACAGTACAGTTTTCCTCACCCATAAGCCCCTAAGACCAGCAGAGCAGCCCCCTCCCACCCTTGATCTCACCACAGTGGTACAAACACTAAGGTGCCTGTGGGCCCAGCCCCTGCCTGCTGTGCCACCCCTATACAAGGGACTCCCCCAAGCCCTCTCTCCCTGAGGACCCAAGCTGGTCTGGCTCCCATTCCAGCAGGCCTCTCAGTGGTTCCCTGCAGTTCCCACTAGGCTGGTGACTTAATGAGAAGCTGGGAGCTCTGTGGTCTGTGTGGATCCTGCATGACAGAGACTGGTAAAGCCTTGGGATTTCCCATTCTGGGAAAGTCTGATCCCAGCACATATGGCTTCCCAGAGACTGACCCCAAACCCTGGCTCAGATCCCCAGGGATGGCAAAGAGACACAAAGCCCAGCAACTTCTGTTGCAGGAAGATCTAGACTCTTCAAAAGTCTTTGGAGCAATCCCTGAGCCCATTTGCACTCTCCCCATAGGAGCCAGAACAAAGCCCTAAGGGGAAAGAAAAGAGGAACCAAAATCCCAGCACTGTCATGAAGTCAGGTGTGAACATCCCACCATGCACCACACCATTCCCTCTGGCTGTGCAGGGGTTACACCTGCCCCGTTGCTACTCTCATCACAGCCCTTCCAATTCTACGATTCCCCCCTGCCAGTTCAAGGCACTCCCCACTGCAGCTGTCACATGTGTGTCCTAAAGGAAGACCTGGTCCTTTTTACTCACACTGCCACTAATGTTTGAAATTAAAATTTTGATATGCCTATGAAAAATCAGGTTTCTTGTGGTACATTATGACTGCATACACCTTTATCAGCCCAACCTCCCAGCTCAGCTGCTCTGCTAAAGAACACCCTTGAGCAGCAATAAAGTAGGAATTGTTACAGGTTCACTTATCCCTCTCAACTTTCCTTTCCAAAACTACAGTATTCCCTCAGACATACTCAAATTCAAGTGCTGCGGGGTAATGGAGAGGCTGAGTGAGAATGTGACTGAACAGGACTCCAGAATCTGCTTCAGGAGCTAAAATAGGAGGTGGGAGGATGACAAATTCACATTAGTTCAGGCAAGGGAGGGTGCCAAGCAGCAGGAGAGTTTGCTGCTGAGCTCATGAGAGCAGGTACTTCAGCACAAAGAGCTTGGAGGAAAGTAGTTTGTCTCTTTTTTCTCAGTTTGAAACAATCTGAAACTGATGAGATTCCCACACCAACTCTGCCTCAGAGGACCTCAGGCGCCTGGGAAGAGTAGGAGGTGCTGACAGTTTCCTACATCCAAGGACTTTGGAAGGAGTCTCACAGGAATCCAGAAGAGTGGGAAGAAGAAACTGGGGAGGAGGAACTGTGTTTATTTTGGAACTGTCTGGTTTATTTGGACTTCTGCCACTGGCTCTCCGTGTTTGCAATGCCTGAGAAGAACTGGGAGGGAGAGTCTTCAGGGGTTCTGTTAAATGTGAACTTTAGTGTTTATTTGGATGGCGAGGTGGTACCCTGAGAAAGGGTGGGTTGGTTTAGCTGGAGAGTCAGAGGCTAACAAGCCACAAAAACAATGTAAATCCCTTTGGACCCAAAGAGAAGCACTTGGAATTGAAGGCCGTGTCCTGGAGCAATGACGCAGAGAAGGCTTGAGGCTTGGACTTGGTCTCTATTTCCTTTTTGGGGCCTATGGCTAGAACTGCCGCTGGTTGGGAGCTCCATTCAATCCCACCATATTAAGGTGGGAACATGTGATGTGGTGTCAGAGGTGGGATATGTGAAAAGGGGAGAAATATGAAGGCTAGAGAGCTCTTATCGGTGGGGTAGAGAGCTGAGTGAAGTATTTCCATTCAATTTCTGGGAGCACCCAATGGAGAGAAGAGACATTTTCTGGGTGTGGAAATAGACCACAACAATTGGGGGAGTGGTAAATAATGAAGAGGACAGGTCACCACTGATCCAGGGTGATCTGGATTGTTTGCTAAGCTGGGCACAAGCAGACACATGCATTTTAATATGGCTAAATAGATATGTCTAGGAACAAAGAATGTAGGCCAGAAGGGCGGGGGCCTCTATCCTGGGAAGTAGTGACTCTGGAAAAGATGTGGGGTTCATGGTGGATAATCAGCTGAGGATGAGCTCCCAGTGCAACACTGTTCCCCAGACACTAACACTGGAGCATTCTGTTTACAGCATATATTGAAAACCCGAAAACAAGCAGCTTACAGCTGTGCACAATACACTGTAGGGTTTCAGAAAACCCTACAGTGGAATTTTTAAAAAGCTTACATTAAAAATAATTTGCCTTTGAAACAACCACACAATGCAAGTCAAAATCAAGAGAAGTAACCAGAAAACTTAGAACTAGGAAAGAATTGCCATGTCCTAGGGAACAGACTTTCTTGGAACATTATTTTGAACTTTCCACCCCTTATATTCAATGTTTTAAAAATAATTATTAGTCCTCAAGGGCCAAAATCTTCCCATAGAACATGGATGCACACAACTATTTTAAAGAATCCTTACTGAGGGTGTAGGAACAGATCATCTCGATGTGCAGAAAGAATAGCAAATATGGCAGGCGACCAGCTTGGCTTAACAGAGAAATTTTCAGTGAGCTTAAACACAAAAAGGAATCTTACAAGAAGTGGAAACTTGGACAGATGACTAGGGAGGAGTATAAAAATATTGCTCGAGCATGCAGGGGTATAATCAGGAAGGCCAAAGCACAATTGGAGTTGCAGCTAGCAAGGGACATGAAAGGTAACAAGAAGGGTTTCTACAGGTATGTTAACAGCAAGAAGAAGGTAAGGGAAAGTCTGGGACCCTTACTGAATGGGGGAGGCAACCTAGTGACAGATGATGTGGAAAAAGCTGAAGTACTCAATACTTTTTTTGCCTCGGTCTTCACAGACAAGGTCAGCTCCCAGCCTGCTACACTAGGCAGCACTGTATGGGGAGGAGGTGAGCAGCCCTCATTGGTGAAAGTACAGGTTAGGGACTATTTAGAATAGCTGGACGAGCACAAGTCCATGGGGCTGGATGCAATGCATCCAAGGGTGCTGAGGGAGTTGGATGATGTGATTGCAGAGCCATTGGCCATTATCTTTGAAAACTCATGGCAATCGGGGGAGATCCCAGACAATTCGAAAAAGGCAAATATAGTGCCCATCTTTTAAAAAGGGAAGAAGGAGAATATGGGGAACTACAGACCGGTCAGTCTCGCCTCAATCCCCGGAAAAATCATGGAGCAGGTCCTCAAGGAATCCATTTTGAAGCACTTGGAGGAGAGGAAGGTGATCAGGACCAGTCAACATGGATTCACCAAGGGCAAGTCATGCCTGACCAACCTGATTGCCTTCTATGATGAGATAACTGGCTCTGTGGAAATGGGGAAAGCAGTGGACGTGATATACCTTGACTTTAGCAAAGCTTTTGGTACGGTCTCCCACAGAATTCTTGCCAGCAAGTTAAAGAAGTATGGGCTGGATGAATGGACTATAAGGAGGATAGAAAGCTGGCTAGATCGTCAGGCTCAACGGGTAGTGATCAACGGCTCGATGTCTAGTTGGCAGCCAGTATCAAGCGGAGTGCCCCAGGGGTCGATCCTGGAGCCGGTTTTGTTCAACATCTTCATTAATGATCTGGATGATGGGATGGATTGCACCCTCAGCAAGTTCGCAGATG